GTGCAACAATGAATGAATGAAATCCCAAAATCTCTGTAGATGTTCACTGAAATGAAAAATAAACAACCTAAATTAAAAAAAAAAGAAATGCTGAATGAGTTCAACTCTTTTGATTTTCTGACTCTAGCATATTTCATATGATACTTTGTTTTGTCTTCTGTGCTGCCCTTTGAATTCTTCTGTAGTAATGGACAAATAAATGAAGTCAGTGGATTGGTGAGCTCAGTGTGACCATATGGAGATATTAGTATACCTGCATGTAAATGTAAGGTGATGAAGAGACTACTTGAAATGAGAAGTGATAGAATTAATCATGATGTAAAAATCATCATGTCTAGTGTATGATCATTTGCTCACTGAAGAAGGAAAAAGAGATCAATGCAAGAAATAAAATTAAGAAAGTATGAGGTCATAATACTGGTAGAGCCATTCATCTACGCAGAGAAGTCACCTTCAATAGAGACAGGAATACGTAATAAGAACATGAGCCAAGTGTTAACAGCTTTAATAAATGAGGCAGGACAACAAAATGTTCAGGAGAACAAGGTCATGAACCTAGAAGGGTAGGTTGCTCTTAATTAAGTGACATAACCATCAAAGGAGTTGGGGTCTTTGAAGGAGGAGAAAGCAGAGAAGAAATGTTTGAGAGGTAGCAATAAAGAGAAAAGTTCAGAGGAACAATGGACTTCCGTCAGGAGAGCTCCAAGGAAATGGTGTCACTGGGAAACGTGCCATTCTCAGAGCAAAAACATGAAGGAAGTACTCAGCATAGGGCATTGGGACACTTGGTAATGACAGACAGACAGAGATCCATAAGTCTAGATTTGAGATGACAATGAGAAATTGGATCACATTAAGAAACCAACAAAATGCAGGGATTAAAATGATGTTTACTAATAGGCTGGGTGTAGGGATTAATGAGCTCAAGGATTTTACATGTTGCCTGGCACAGAGACAGAGCCCTGTGAACATTGATCTTAATCATTAGCATCCTATCTGATGGATTATAGAGGCTTGAATCCAGACTTTGTTACTCCCAAACCAGTGTTTTCTATGACCTCACAGGGACAGTGGGTAGTACCAAAAGCTCTGGCAGAGGGAGAGTTTACAATCAACATTGGGAGCTTCTGTGGGTTTCAACAACATTTTCTTTTTTTTAAAAAATTGAGATTTTAATGAAAGTTTATAAAGAATTTAGATTTCCATTCATTCATTGCTGCAAATTTTCCTCTCTGCCCACTCCTCCCCACCCCCGTAGTTTGCTTTTCTTTTTGAAAAGAAGAAAAAATTATTTTATTGTTATACAATTCCCCCACCCAAACACTTTACTATGCAGCTCTTATTCTGGACTTTTGTCACGCCAATAATACCTAAGCACAGAGTTCTCTCCCTCATCTGTTTCAATGCAGTGCACATTATTTTCCCCCTCTTTTCTTAGTTTCCCCCAACCCTGATGTCAGTCCTGTTTTATAACAGTAGCATTACGCAGTATTTGTCCTTTCGTGGCTGAGATATTTCACTCAGCATAATGTCTTCCAGGCAACAACATTTTCAGTGACTCTCTGTATCTAGAGAAAATAGTGTTGCCTAATACAAAAATCATGAAGCTAACAATTACATTAAAACTAAACAACTCAGCAGTGATTAGCTGATGAGTTGTTTGTTTTTCATATTCTTTTCTATGGAGTGGAAGGGAAGCATGAGCTAATGTCTTTATCTAGTTTATGTGTACAGTGACAATTTGTTTCAGATTGGACACAGTCATTTAAAGTTAATTGCTTTTACTAAATTTAGGGATTATAACTACTCAGCTGTTTCCTTCATATCTGGAACTAGGAGATGTAGTCTCCTAGATACATCTCCATTATAAATGATATGACATTTCATGGATGAGGTTCTTTAGTATTGAGGATAGCTTTTCAGTGGCAGTTTATGCAAAATAAGTGTACTAATTGCCTATGTTGTTGTTATGTGCTGTCAGGTCATCTGTGACTTAGCATAGCTTTAAATGGTATGATTATATACCCAAATAATTCTTTGGATGTATTATAATGACTTAAGCAAAAGCAACTATGGAAATACAATCACAATAATTTTTATTTACTGAATTAACTGAAAGTACTTTGATTAACAGTAACTCTGGCAGTGTAATGCATAGCATGCAGTGCTGCAAACCAAAAGGTCAGTGGTACAAACCCCAAGATGCTTCATCAGAGAAAGGTGAACCGTATCCTCCCATAAAGATCTACAGCCTCCAAAACCCAGTAGAAACTTCTCACTCATCATGAGTCAGAATCAGCTTGATGGCCATGCCTATCCTCTATCTGAAAGGCTAGAAGCATTCCTTTAGAACAGAGAGCTAGAATGCAAAGCAAATCAGAAAACTATGCTAGATTTACAAAAGAAAGAAAGAGATCAAATTACTTTTCCCCCCCAAAGTCTCAAGCAGTAAGTGGCAACTCAAGATTAAATCTCCTGCTAGCTTTTTTCCAAAGCTTCTCCAAGAATCACTCACAAAAGTATTGCTACCTGTGTTTCTCCCAGGAATTTTGAGAATCGGGATGGGTATGTCAGAGGCGGTGCGGTTGGCGCAGGATAGAGCAGGGTTTAGGGCTGTTGTGCATAGGGTCTCTATGAGTCGGAAATGACTCGAAGGCACATAACAACAACAATCCATTCAAAGCAATGGTTGCCCATGCGTGAGACTTACTAGATGTAAGAACTTGTGCCTACTGAATCTCTGGGCATGTCCCAACAATCACTTATATTCCAACAAGCCCACTGGGTGAGTAACTGCATTTGAGAACCTATGATGCTGTATTTTACATTTAAAAACATCTGCTGATGTTTTTGTTAAATGTCATTAAGTCAACTCAAATTCAAAGCGACCCTATGTACAACAGATCAAAATGCCACTGGATCCGGCACCATCCTTAGAATTTCAGTCAGTCTTGGGAAAGACATCAAAGACCAGGTCTTAAGCCATGTTCTGATTTGATATACTAAGACCTTTGTACAGCAGCCTCAGGCTGAGGCCTGGTAACTGCTCAGCTGAAAGAGGCCATTCTTTACTGTGGTCACTCAACAGCACAAGAGTCTGAATGGCCAGGACTGCAGGGCAGGGTCTGTGTTATCTGCCATGAACGCTGACCAATTCAGTTAATTGCCTTGGTCAGAGAAAATTGCAGCTCAGAAAAATTCAATTTGGGACTCAAAGTACCACTGGGAGCTTTGCTTATAATTGTTCCCTACAAAATTAGATTTCATGCTTTCTATTGCATGCTTAGTTGTATCAGGTCCTTCTCAGCCGCCTCTCAGGCCCGGTAAATCTCTCCTCGCTGCCCTGTCTGAGTGGTTTGTATGCAGCCTCTGCTGTCCCCTGTCCTCAGGCTTTCTGGAAAAGGCAGGAGCCTCTCTAAACTCGGGAATCACAAGGTCTTCATAAGGGACAGACAGAGGAGGATGAAAGCCTCTCTCCCAGACCAAGATTCTGCCACAGGGACAGAATCAAAGGCAGGGGAAAATAAGACTCCATAAACTCATTTATTTTAAGTGAAAATAGTTAACAATGGAGTAACCTAGACAAAGAGAAATTTAGAAAAAAATGTAAATGATAATGGTAGTGTGTTTTAATAGTCTACACACAAGAAAACAATGCTACACATTGTATCATGTATGCCTCCAACTAACAACTTTTTGAACTATATATTACTTTTAAAAAAATAGCAACTATGCTTTATTTAAAATGTAGACTTTGGTGAAAGCAGCCTGAGGCTCCGAACTAGCTATTACTTTGAGCCTCCTATTAGGTGAAGAGAGTGATGCTCAGAAAATTTAGGCAACCCAAGTTTGCATGGCTAACCTACAAAGCTGAGAATAAAATCAAGGTCTTGATTCAAATTACTAGTCGTTCTATTATCAGCTGGATTTGAGGCCATGAAACCTTTCCTTGGTCCTCCCCCACCCTGGGCTTTCTCAGGTTGCCTCGCAGAGCAATTTTTCCCACCCTGCTCCAGTGGTTTGATTCATGGATGTGAGTATGGAAGAACATTCTCTAATTGAAGTGTATTTTTCCTCTGTGACTCTGATGGCCCAAACCTGCTGATGCTTCTCCATAACCCGACAAAAGGCCCAGGTACCCACTTTCTCCCCAGTCACTCACCCAGCTGCCACTCAGGGGAACACATAGTCTGCATCATCCAGATGGGCAAAGTGGGCTCCAGAATAGCCACCCCCAGGTTGGCAAAGCAGAGGGAGCCTGGAAGATGGCCAGCAATGTCCTGTGAGCCCCCAACACTGTCATGAAGCCCAGCTTCACAAGCCCAGAACGCAGCCATTACTCACTTACCTGCAGCCACCAGGATATAAGGGTCTTTGAGAAGTGTGAAGAGTGGGGTCCCCTTGGCACTCTGGAGAACACAGATAATAAATCATTCCATTTGTACAATATATACACTCTCCTATTGTGACAGAAGCTGGGTGTTCAGACAGGGCTTAAAATCATTTCATTCACCTCTTTCAATATAGAGTTGAGGAAACCCACATCCAAAGAAAGAACCCCCACCATGTAGCATCATTAGTCTGCCAGGGTCACAGAGGGAGTTAGTGACAAAGCATCTGCAATGTCAAAGGCAAGCACTGTGGTGGCCACAAAAACAAACCAACTAAAGCCCACACTGCCACAGAGCCCAATTCAACGCCGTGTAGCCACGTAGGACAGAGCAGGACTTCTTCAGGGGTTTAGTGAGGTTGTAATGAAGGGAGCAGGGGGCCTCATGGTTCTCCCGTGGAGTAGCTGATAAATTCAAGCCACCAATCTTCTGATTAGCAGCCCAACAATTACATAACCCCAGTGCCAACAGGGCTGCTGATAGTCATAAGGGGGCAAAACATTCCAGACATGATTCTTGCCTTTAAAGAACTAAAACCACAGTAACTGATTGTTAGCAAGGTCAAGATTTCACAACACAAGTGTGTAGACACCTGATCTTGACACTCAATTTTGCCTACTCTCATTTTCCTCCACAGGACAAATGCTGAATCCAAAATGTGATAGTTGAGGCAATTATGCAAAAAGATATGCAAGTTTCCTAAATTCTTAATTTGGAAACATTCTCAGTCAAACTGGACTGGTTTTATTTTACCCTGTGGAAAGGTCTTGTAAGGTTGGGAGAGAAAGTGCTACCAGTCAAAGCAGAATTGTGTGTTGATTCTGTTTTAGCTGTGATGTGAAAATGTGGCATCATTCACTTCAAAGTATTAATAATGGTCTTATGCAGTATTTGTCCTTAGGAGACTGAGTTAGTTCACTCAGCACAGTGGCTTCAGATTATTAAGTAAGCACAATTGAGTCCATGCTTGTCTTGTCCATTGGGTGAACTGACTGTGCTCAGGAGAAAGATAAAAAGCCCTGTAGATGGCACAGCATGGCAAGAAGCAGCGGCCAAGAGACAGCAGCAGCAGAATGAGTGTGCCAGTGTGAGACAAGAGACAGCAGCAGAAGAATGAGCGCGCCAGTGTGAGACAATAATACAGGGAGCATCTTGGCCTCAGAGCAAGGCAGTTACACTAGATGTGTGGCCCCATAGACATCAAGAGCTGAGACTGTTTGAGCAGGAGGCCTCCTGTCTCCAGGCACTGGTTGACAGATTGTCTGCCACTCTACAGAGTAAGAAAGCTGAGGACCTTTCAGCAGCAGCAGCAGCAGCTTATTGGGAGAAAGGAAGGGCATTTAGTGATGAAGCTAAGGAGCTTTGCACCACTTGCCTGAACAGGACTGAGGATGAGCCAAAAAGAGTCAAAGAGAGGGTGCCTATAGACATGGCAGAGAAGAGGCTGTCCTGATCAGAGAACTGTACCTGGAGTTGTTCCTGATCTTGGCTTGTTACTGGTTACCTCCCTAATAAACATCATAATTGTAAATGTGGTCCTTGAATTCCGTGTGGCAATAAATTAAAACTGCAATGAAATATCAAACCCAGGAGAGACATAGAGAGTACCAAGAGGAGTGATGCAGATGGTATAGATGGCTGCTATCAGAATTGTGACAAGAGCATAGAATTATGCCTGACCTCCACCTCACAGGAGTGGGCTAATGGTGATCTCCATTCTCCTCTATCTCCCTAATGTTAGAGGACCTTTGCTTCCCTCACATCAATAATATACACACAGCAGCCCTATCTGGGAATGAAGGGCAGATCTCCTTGATTCTAACTTTCCCTGATTGTAACTTCACCTTTCTCTTTCCCTTTCATCTTTTTTTTTTACTGTTTTTAAAGTTGAATTTGGGTGATTTACAGACTAAATCCATTTTATTTTCAACAGATTGTACACATTTTGTACACAGATCCCACCATGTGCCATCATTAGTCCCACCTCCCTCTGTGTTTCCTGGTTTTGTTCCTCATTCCCTCTTTGATCTTGAGTGGTTGATTGTTCTAAGGGTTATCTATCTCCCTAATGATACTGCTTACCCTGTAAACTAGTCTATATTTAGTCACAGGGGTAAATTTCATTCCAGGCTCAAAGGATGGCTAACAGCCATAGTCTCAGAGATTTCATCAGTCTCTACGTGACCAGCGTGCCCGGTCTTTATTTCACTTTTCTTTTTATGCTTTGAAATGGATGATCAGGATTAGAGGTAGACTCATTAACATCCTGTAATATGTAGATAGCACAACCATGCTTACAGAAAATAAAGATGACTTGAAACACTAAGTAATGAAATTTAAAGCCTTTGGTATGGATTACACCCGGATATAAAAAAAAAAAAACAACACAAAAACAACACACCAGAATTCTCCACAATTAGACAAATAAATAACATCTGATAGCTGGAGTAAATAATGAAGTTGTCAAACTCTTACTTTACTTGGAAACACAATCAATAATCATGGAAGCAGCAGCCAAGAAATCAAACAAGTCATTCTCTGCATTAGGCAAATATGCTGTTAAAGATGTCTTCAAAGTGCTACGGAGCAAGAATACCACTCTAAAGGTTAAGGTACACCTGACCCAAGCCATAGTGTTTTCAATTGCTTCACCTAATGTGAAAAGTTGGGCAATGAATAAGGAAGACAGAGAAATTATGGCCTTTGAATCGTGCTGGTGAAGAATATTGACTGTACCATGGGTTGTCAAGAGGACAAATAAATCTATGCTGGGAGAAGTACGGGATCACATACTTTGGACATGATGTGTTCGGGAGGGTCAATCTCTAGAGAAAGACATCACATTTGGAAACATAGTGAGTCATATCAAAGGACAAAGACCCTCCACAAGATAGATGAACACAGAAACTACTACAATGGGCTTTAAGCAGAGCAGAGACACTGGGAAGTCAGCTCAGAATTGAGCAGGGTTTTCTACTGCTATATGTGGGATCCTGGTGAGCTGAGGCCTGAGGAGCACCTGTCATAACAGTATGACTGATCTAGAAACCATGGATCTCTGCACATAGCTGGCCCATGGATCTCTTGACAACCAAGCTTAGTATTTACTTACCTCAGGAGAAACTTTTGAAGGACGTAGGACAAAAAACTGCAGTACTGAAAAAGAAAGCAGAAGAGACATAGTTCGCTTGCCCTCTGATTAGCAATATATTCCAGTAACAGCCAAAATGCTAATGCACTACCCCATTCCCATGCCACATACAAATGTAACTTTCTGAATTTCTTCTTTCTTTCGACTTGGACGGGACAGTTCTTGATGCATCAAGACATGGCTGCACCGTCTATTGTGAGTCAGATCTGCTATCCTGGAATAATCTGGGTGCCGACCAGGGTTGTCACCCACACAGGTGCCTCTAGTGATGACTTACCTCCATCCAGTATTGCCAGGAAGGCCAAGATGAGGAAGGGAGCCGACTTCCCAACAAACTCATACATCACACTTCCGAAGGGTGCACCCACTGAAAAGGCAAAGGAGGCACAGATTCCATAGTTGAAAACCAACTCTCAGTCAGTGTGGCTTTAACTGCATTTACCCAGTGGGGTCATGGGGGCAAGTGTGTCAGAGACAGTGGGAATGGCTCAGGATAGTGCAGGGTTCAGAGCTACCATTCATAAAGTCAGCTCAACAGAACATAACAACAGCAACAGAAAGATTAAGGAACAGATGACTCATGTACCCAATGTAACTTCAAAAGGTTCATGAAAATTAATCAATTAGATAATTATGTGTGGGGATGGCAGAAAGTGACTTTTCAGTGACAACTAGTAGTACCACTTGTTTGTTCATTTGTTACCACTATGGTTTACATGCTGCTAGGAAGCTAGAGTTATGTCCCTAGTACTTAAAATATCAGCAAAGAGTGTGAGGGTCATCTGGCTGTGACATCTGTCAGTGCATTGATTGCCGGGGTTTATTTGGCTAATCTTGCTGACAAGGCAAGAGTCCTCTTTGTCTCTCAGCACTCCATGCGTGCCCCTTCTGAGGTCCCGTGCTCAGTTGAAGAGGATGATCTTCCCTGACAGAAAAAGGACCATGCTTTGGTCAAGGGTATATGAGTAACTGCAATCCCCTGTAAGAATCTAAAAAAAAAAAACAACTCAATGTCAAATACCAGTGGGGTGACTCATAGGAGATAGATTCCAGTAGAACTTACACACTAAGACAGACTAGAAAGAAAGGCTTGGCAATCTACTTCAAAAAAATTATCCAATAAAAACCTCAAAATTTTTGCAATACAGTGATAATGAGCTCTCTGTGTTGAAACTCAACTCTAGCTTCTGGTGGCCTGGTGTATAAGGAGTTGCTGCCAGCCAAAAGGTAGAAAATTTGAACCCACCAAATACTCTGCAAAAGAAAGATGGACAATCTCTTCCTGTGTGGTGTACAGCCTCTAATAATCTCCTGGAGAGTCAGCTATGAGTCATACAACTTGACAGCACATAAAAACACACTGGAAGACACTCAAAATGCACTATTGCCACAATAAAAGTATAAGTTTGCATATGCTGCACAGGTGACTGTGTCAGAAAGTTAAGGCAGCCAAGAGGATTTTGCCCGAGTGGGGGACACCTGAGAAAGCAGCACATGTGAAGGACAAAGAAGTGTCAGAAGAGAGAGAGTAATTGGAGAACTTAAAAAAAAAAGTTGGTGTTACTAGATTGTGAGTGAGTATGGGAAGGGAAGACTAGATGTAGGGATTGTTGAGGCTGAATATCACATGAATCCATAAAACCTGATGATATATCCACTTAATCTTGTATGACAGGGAGAAACATCCCTGCTTCTTTGGCAGAGGAGAAAACACTCATTCTGGGTTCAGAAGATTACTTTGGTGGTACTTCAGGGAAAGATGCGAATGCACAAGAAATCAGGCAGGAGGTTGATACTACACTCGGATCTGTATATGAGAGGGATCTGACCTAGAAAAAGTGGTTTTAGAGGGCATGATGTGCTTGTTATTCCTTGAATGAGAAGTGATAAAGAATAGCTGGTCAAACCCAACTTTTAGCTTAGCTGTTAGAGTAAATAGATCTTAACAAAAAACAATCCATGTTATAAAAAAAACAATCCATGTTATGCAGACGGCATAACCTTGCTCACAGAAAATCAAGGACTGCAGTCTTCAGTGTGGATGGGAGCTCGATATCAAGAAGACAAAGATTCTCACCACTGGGCCAACTGGCAGCACCATGGTGGATGGAAAAGAGATAGAGGTTGTTAACAATTTCATCCTGCTCATATCCACAATCCACACTCTTGGCAACAGAAGTCAGAAAATCAAGAGACAAATTTCTCTGCGGAAAGCTGCTGTCAGGGACCTCTCAAAAGTTTACTGCATTGAAGCCGATAAGGGAGAGAATACTTTAAAATTAATATATTTTAGGGCATTATGATTATCATAAGAGCCCGGAATGAGGGTTGCAGAGTGGAGTATACTTGGGGTGGGGGTGGAGATGTGCAGGGTTGAGGAGAGGATTGTGTACAAATGAAGGAGTTTGTCTTTTGCTTTTCAAGGAGAGGAGCGAACTGGGGGTGGAGGTGGG